ATGGGGGTGAAGTTGTACCTGGTAGTAGGTTTATATTTGCATTATTCATGAGGTTGAGGAACTTTTTCTTTTATTGATCACTGGTGGTTCCTCTTTGTGAAGTACCTGTTCCATCTCTTGCCTCCCCTCTGCACGCCTGCCTTCAGTGGATTTCTATCCTCCTCATTGAGTCCAGGGACTCCTTACATGGTCTCCTAGGTCAAGTTCTGCGTGCTTAAAATAGCTTCTTTATCTTTTTCCCTATAGAGTCTTTTGATAAAGCCAGTTTGTAATTTTAATGTAGTTGAAGTTATCGATGTTTCTTCTATGACTTCTGCTCTTTGTTTCTTGTGAAGAAATGATTCCCCACCTTATGTTAACAAAGACATTTTCAAATATCACCTAAAAGTTTCACTTTCCACATTGAAGCTTTTCAGTAATGTGGAGTTAATTTGGGGGCTGTTGGAGATGGAACTTCATTTTTTCCCATGTGGATAACTAGTAACCCCAGCACCATTTATTGAAAAGTTCATACCCACTCACCAGCAGATTTTGTCTCTCTGTCTCTGTCTTTCTCTTTTATGGGCTTTCATTTTTGTTCCATTGTCCTATTTGTCTATTCTTGTATCAATAGTGCACTGCCTTATTTGCTGTTGCTTTATAATGTCTTGGTATCTGCTAGAGACGATGCCATCACCACTATCTCTCCCTCCTCCTCTTCCTCCTCCTTCTCCTCCTCTTCCTCCTTATTCTCCTCCTCCTTCAGGGAATTCCTTAGCTAGTCTCAGCCGATGGACACTTCCATATAAACTTTGGATTCAGCTCATGCAGTTCCAAAACTAAAAATAAAAAAATCTGTGGTGATTTGCATTAGGATCGTCTTAACTCTATACCAATTTGGAGAAAATCGACATGGTTTTAATACTGAGTCTTTCAATCCATAAATGTGCCTTCACTCTCCATTTTTACATCTTCTTTAATGTCTTATAATAAAATTGTATGATTCTATTCCATAAGGACCTTGCACATCTTCATTAGATTTGCTCCTAGGTACTTGACATATTATTATTATTATTTATCCTCACCAGGGGACATTTTTCCATTTTTTGTTCAGATAGAGGGGGAGGGAGGGAGGGAGTGAGGGGGGGAGAGAGAGAGAGAGAGAGAGAGAGAGACATCAACATAAAGGGACACATCGAGTGGCTGCCCCCCCCCCGCACGACCAACCAGGGCCGGGGGACAAACTGCAACGGAGGTACGCACCCCTAGTGGGAACTGAACCCGGGTCTCTCTGGACCGCAGGCTGATGCTCTAACCGCTGAGCCAAACCAGCCAGGGCGACATATTTTTATTATATTATAAATGATCTTATTTTACTTCATTTTCTTTTTGTCTATTGCTTGCATAAAGAAACACAAAACAACAGATATTTGTATATTGATGTTTTAAATTGACTCAGTAATAAATAATCTGAAATTTTTTTTGATTTTTCTATATAAATCTGAAAATAATGACGGTTTTGTTTATTTCTAATCTTTCCACCTTTGTTTTATTTTGCTATCTTACTGTCCAGTAGAAACTTGATGTAAATCATATATGCAGGCCACATGTATAATCTGAAAATTTCTAATAGCTACATTAAAAAATTAAAATAGGCAGCTGAAATTTTTATATTTCATATAACCCTATGTATTTCAAAATTTAACTATTGTTTCAATATGTAATCAATATAACATTATTAGTGAGACATTTTAAGGTGGGTATTTTTATTTGTTTTTTGTTTTGTACTAAGTCTTTAAAATCCAATGTGTATTTGTGTTACTCTTACATCTCAATTCCGACTAGTTACATTTCAAGTTCTCAGTAGTCACAGGTGGCTAGTGGCTACCATATTGAGCAACACAGGTCTGGGATAGCCAGTGCAATGTTTAATGGAAATGGAGATTGCAATCATTCTTGCTTTGTTACCCATCAGACGGGGAATGCTTTTAACACTTCACCAAATTTTAATTAGGATGTTTGCTGTAGGTTTCTTGTAAATAACTTTACTGGGATAAAGATATTACCCTGTATTCCCAGTTTGCTACAAGTTTTAAAACATAAACAGATGTTGAACTTTCCCTGCATCTTTTGAGATGACCATATATATGTCTTTCTCCTTTAACTTTTAATGTGATGAATTGACTGATTTTAAAATGTGATGTCAACCTTGCACTTCTGAACAAGACCCAATTTTGTCATGATGTATCATCATTTTTATATACTGTCAGATTTGGTTTGCTGTTTTGTTTAGTATTTTTGTATCTATATTCATGGGGGACATTGGCCTATAATTTTATTTTTTGTACTGTACTTATTCAGTTAAAAATACTTTATAATTTCCATTATGATTTCTGTTTTGATCCATCAGTTATTTAGAAATGTACTTCTTAATTCCCAAACATATGGGGCTTTTGAAGTTATCTTTGTTATTGATCTCGGTTTATTTGTGTTGTGGTAAAATATATATATATACTCTATCTGATTTCAGACAAAATTTCTTGAGATTTATTCTTTTTGTGAATATTCCATATGTCTCGAGAAGGAAAGTATTCTGCAGCTGAAGCCATGATGTTCTATAAAATTCTGTTAGACAATTTTCTTAATCATATCCTTATAGAATGTTATGTCTGTTTGTTCTACTAATTACAGGAGGGATGTGTTTTAAAATCTCCCACTATAATTGTGATTTGTCTATTTTTCTGTGTAGCTCCTCTTTGGCTTTCTTATATTTTAAGATTGTATTTGCATGCAACTTTGAACTTGTTCTTTCTGGTGAACTGGAGCATTTTCATTATGAAGTGACCTTCTTTATCTCTAGTTTTTTTCTAACATTAAAATAACTGCAGTAGCTGTTTGTTCATTAGCCTTTGCATGCTATCTTTTCCCCATCCATTTACTGTCCCTCTTTCAGTATCCTCATGTTTTGGAAGTGTCTCTTGTGGATGTCTCCTATAAATTACACGCAACTGGATTTTACCCAGTATGAGAATCTTTATATTTTAACCACAACATTTAGTCTAGTTGCATTTATTGAATTATAGTGCATTTGAATTTATATCTGTCATCTATTTATGTCCCACCTATCTTGTATTTATTTTTCTCTCTATCTCTGCTTACTTTAGGATTAATTAGGTTTTCTCATTCTATTTTTGCCCTCTAGTAATTTGGATAAATATTATATATTGCACTTTCATTCTTTTAATGTTTATCCTGGTAATGACAGTTGCATTATTAGGTCATCAAGTTTAAATGTATTTGTTGTCTATCTTCACTTTCCTCCTGAAGAATATAAGGATCTTAGAACACTAACTCCAGTCACCCAAGTTATGTGCCATTGTTGTTATGTATTTTAGCTCTATTTTTATCCAGAAGACATGGCTATTGTTTTGTATTATCAATGTTCTTCATTGTTCTTTATTCCCTATTGCATTAGACCTCTGTCTATGCTCCTCTTCCTCCTGTCTGAAGTACCTCCGTTGGAATTTCCTTTAAGGAGGGTGTGCTAGTGATAAAATCTTAGTTTTTTTATTTGTGTTATTGTTTCCCTTCGTTCTGGCAAGATATTTTCACTGCGTACCTAATTTTTGAAAGAAATTTTCACTGGGTATATCATTCTAAGATGATGGTTATCTTCTCTCAGAACATCGGAGATATTTATCATTCCTCTGCCTTCTGGCTTCCGTTGCTTCTGATAAAAAACCAAGTATAAAATTGTCGCTTCTTTTTTATTCTTTGCTCCAGACAGAAGCGTTTGGACTTATTTCTGAGAGGAATAGGGAGCTATGAAAGATTTGTAAGCTCTGGTCACCCAGCCAGATCCGCCCTTTCGAAAGCGCACTCTGGCGTAGAGTGGATTCGGGATCGGAGGGGATGGCAGCTCAGTGAGAAGATCGCTGTCGCCGGCCAGAGGCAGGACAAGGGCCAAGGGTGGCAGAGAGGCAGGACCTGGGGTCCACTGCGGTAGGCGGCGGGAGCCCGAGGGGCCCAGGCGACTCCGGGTCCCTGACGAGGATGAATGGAGGTGCCAAAAGAAAACAGAGGGGTGGTTTGGGGTGGGTGGTTATGAGTTCGTCCCGGACTTCAAGATCCATTCATTCCCCAGGAAGTTGAATACCGACTATGTGCCAAGCGCCCTTGGGGAGCGTGGCAGCCAAATCCGTTCCCGTGTGTACCTTTTATCCGCCACGGCCACTCCGGTCGCAAATTATAGCCTAGGCGGGGGCCCTCGAGACAGCACTCGCGTCTGACCCGGCGCATCTGCACGACCGCCCACGGACCGCCGGACGGATGGATGGAACGACGGACGTGGAGGGGCCTGTTCAGCACCGGCCAAACTGCGCCGCTGCGGAGCCGGATCTAGGGAGGCCGCGGTGCTGCGACTTCGCCGCAGCTTGGGAAACCCGGGCCGCCTCCGCCTTCCTGGAGCGCGGGGTCTGCGCCGCGGCCCCGCCAGCTGCCAGCTACTTTGTGGGAGGTAGAGCAGATGGCCTCCCGGCTCTGCCCGTTTCCTCATCTGCCCAACCCGGGCCATGCCGTTTCCAGCCCATCAGAGTCACCGGGAGGATTTTAGGAAACGCGTCTGGGCGTTAGAATCCCGAACCGCCCGGGAGTCGAGAGGTGCCCACGCCAAGAGTTCGGCCGGCTGGCGGCCTGGGTGAGCGGCGCGCAGACCCTACCTCCCGGGGGCGGGGCGGGGCTCCAGAGGGGGCGGGACCTGGCTCCAGAGGGGGCGGGACCGGAGGCTAAGGAGAGGCGGGGCCTGCCGGGCGCGAGCCGAGTCCCCGCCCCGCCCACTCCCCGCGCGCTCGTTCGCTCGCTCGCGCCGAGGAAAACGTTGCGCAGGTTCAAAAATGGAACGTCGTCGGCGTGAGGGAGCGCGAGGGGGTGTGCGCGCGTGCGCGTGCGCGTGCGCGCCCGGCCGAGGGTGACCGGGACCCCGCCGGCCCGAGCATCGCGCGCCGCAGCCGCGGCCCCGCAGCTCCGCCCCCGGCCTGGCCCGGCCCGGCCACGGGCCCGTTCGTCCGCCACCCCGCATGGAGCTGTCAGCCATCGGCGAGCAGGTGTTCGCTGTGGAGAGCATCCGGAAGAAGCGCGTGCGGAAGGTGAGGCTGCCGGGGGGCGGCTCCCAGGACCCCTTTGGGGTCCCCTCGTTTTCCCAACACTGTCCCCTCCACGCTGGGGGCGAGGGGAAATGTAGGGCGGGGAGCCCAGGCAGCCCCGCGCTGCTGGGCTTGTCTCCCCAGCCCGTGCCTCAGTTTCCCCCGGCACCTTGTAGAGCGAGCAGAATAAAAATTGTCGCCCGGGATGTTGGGAGCAGCTGAGCCCGCCAGAACTGGAGATTAGGACCGGGCTGTAGGGATCCTGAACTCCATCCTTCCTCATCTTCCCCTGCTTCTAAATGTGGGGAGACTGAGGCCCAAGTTGAGGAACCGACTTGCCTAGTGCATTAGCGTCGGAATTGGGTCTCGAACACAGGACTCTGCACTGTTGGTACCAAGACCTTTGAAGTTTGAGGCGGGGCTTCGGAACACCCTCCAGCCTCTGAAGTCTAACCGCTGGACTTGGACCTTTTCCGATCCTCTCTGTACCCCCACCTCCATCTTTCTCATTCTCTTTCAGTGCACACCCCTCTGTTTTCCCCACCCCAACTCTCAGCCCCGCCCGGCAGGGCTCAATGAAGCCGCCCACAGCGCTCTGGCTTCCTCGAAGCTCCTCCCCCTTCCTATCCAAAACACAACACCCTGCAATTAAGGACGGTTCTGCTGGGTTCGGGTCCCCGCGTCTTCCGGCTGGACTTGGGCGGTCCACACTTCCTGTGCACATTGCAGAGTGGGCTCGCCTCAGATTGGAGGTTGGGGATGGAAGTCCTTGGGGAGAGTTCCTGTCCTGGAGGCACTCTTCACCATCCTTTTCCCTGTCTCATTTCTGCAGTCCCTTGGGAGGCTCCAGCAGCAGGGTTGGGAAGGGTCTTAGAGGTCACCACCTCCCATTTGAGGCAGAAACTGAAGCCCAGGCAGGAGAAGTGAACTGATCAAAATCACAGGACCAGTCAGAGATGAAGGGAGAGCGAGGAGCTCAAGTTGGCAGATCGCCAGCTCATCATTTGAGAGAAAAAACTTAGTCCTGGCATCTTGGGCCAAGACTCAAGGTCATGGTGGGCCATGAGCTTTCTTCTTCTTCCATCTCTGATGGGGTTGAACACTCTTCAGGTTGGGGCTGCCCCTCCTCCTTCTTCCATCATCCAGACTTGCCTCGATTTTAATTTATTCCACAGAGCCCAGTGCTTTTCATGGAGTGTAGCCCAGGCAGGTACAGTGGTTACCATCTTCTACACCAGACCTGAGGGGTAGTGCCAGGGAATGAGAAGCATCATTCTTTCAGCCGTTCATTCAAAATAAATTTATTGAAGATCTGTTATGTCCCAGGCACCTTCTAAGCCTCAGGGAGGGTACACCCCTTCCCTCCCAGAGCTGGCATTCTGGCAGAGGAGATGCACGATGAATGAGGAAACGCAAACTAATGTCTTCCAGTCCCCACTTTCATGTGCTACACAGAAAGACAACTGTGAGGTGGGAGGGATGGCATTAGAAAGCGTGGCCAGGACAGGCTTCTTTGAAGAGGTGACATCTTGGTCTCAAAGTTCGGTGTGGAGGGGTTTCACCTAATGGTTGGGGTTGGACTGGAAACTTTTAAAGGCCCCTGTCAATAAGAGGAAGGGAGCGGCCTACCTCTATTTTCTAACTACTGGAGGGGTGACCATCATTTCTGTAGGTGGAGATTTTGTCAGCCTTCTCTGGGGTCCTTCCAGGGTCTTTTGAGTTGAGAGACCTAAAGTCACTGGCCTGTCACCTCTGGGTCAGAGGCAACTTTTTCTAGGAAGGGGCTGGTGGAATTAGAGCTGAGGAATTTACTACAATTTGGAGAGTCTTCTGATCTAAAAGGGAAAGAGAGTTATGGTCTTAGCACTTAGATTCTAGACACTGGATCTTTGGTGATGCATACCCCCACGTGGTCTCAGTTTCCCCATGTGTGACATGAGCTCCAAGTTTCTGCCACAGGAGCCCCAGAAGTGTTTGTGGCCAGTTGCACTTCTGTGCTCTAGTAGGGAGGGCCATCTGGGGTGGTCATGCAACAGCCAGAGTTTGGGAGGTTTCTGGGTTGGTGGGGATCTAGTGGGGGGTTCTCTGGTCTGTGTGTATGTGTTGGGGGACATCCATCTGCACGGGAGATTAGGCCTTGCTGTCCTGTGAGTGGTCATTGGGGCAGCTGTATATCTCACTGTGTCTGCTTCTCTTTTTCCCCAGGGTAAAGTCGAGTATCTGGTGAAGTGGAAAGGATGGCCCCCAAAGTAAGGTCCTTTGTGTGTGTGTCTGCCTGCCTGTACATCCCTCCATCCACCTTTTGCCCTCTCTCCTGCCTCGCTTTTAGCTCCAGCTGCTCTAGTAATTGGCCAGTGGGACTTGATTAAATAATCTTCTCTGGCTTTCAGTTGCCCCTCTGCCAGCTAAGGGGCTTGGAGCACATGAGGGTCAAGGTGGGCTCCAGCTTCTCTTCTCAGCTGCTCCTCTCCAGTTAAGTTCCATCTTCTGGTTGGAGGCTTTTTCGGGCACCTGGGAGGTGAAGGCCCAGCATTTTGGGTTCAGAGATGCCTGCTGGCCAGGTGGAGGGATCCCCAAGCCATAGCAAGTACAGTGCTGGACAGGGGTTTGTGAGACTGGGTAAGACAAGGCTAGCTAACCGGGTATGAGTCCTCAGTGCCATAGAACTAGGGACAGAACCTGAGCCCACCTTGCCTTGGTCCATTCTATAGACCAGGTTCCCATACAGCCTTGTGAGGCAGGTGGGATAGTAATCTCTAAAGATGAGGAAACAGGCTCAGAGTAGGTAAGCAACTTGCCTTGGGTCACACAGCAAGTGGGGTCAGAGTTGAACTAGGCCACCCCATTTTCGGGTATCTCCTCTGTGCTTCCTCCATCTTAGAGTTGGGGAGCAGGGAGCTGGTCTAGGACCCCTCCCAGTCTCTCCACCTCTCCTGCGGAGGTCCAATCAGGAACCTTCACACCAACCAATCACCTCCCAGCAGGGAGTTGAGGGGGGTGGAGAATAAACAAGTCGTGGGGCCTCCCCATTGGTCTGTAGGTGCCCCACCTTCCTGCCCTGCCTCCTAGAGACTGACTCCTGGAATCCCCCTCTACTCAGAGCCTCTGCTGTCTGTGCCAGGAACTTTCTGCTGTGCTGGTGGTAGGGGGCTGACCTGGTATTGGGTCCTGGGAATGTCTTAGGGGCACGGTGGCAAGAGACAGTAGAGAGGAAGATGATCCGTGGTGCCTCAGCTTCTTTATCTGCAAAATGGGTTCAATAGTCCAGGCTTTGCCCCCCTCACAGGCTTCTTCACTTTATGGGGTGAAAGGCCTGGGTACATGTTCATGGTGACCTGCAGGCATCCTTATGATTGGAGTTGGTGACTGGCAAAATTTGTCTATTTCTCCTGTCCCTGATGCCCCTTCCCAAACACCCCAGGAGTGAATGAAGGTCCCTTTCTCCACAGATGTGATGTGGACTTCCAGCCTGGGTGCAGGGACAGTATGAGTGTGGGAGAGCTAGAAAAGGAAGATGCCAGGGCAGGCAGCAGGAGCACTGGCTTCCCCTAGCTTCTGCACCAGAAGGCATTGCATTGGAGTGTGGTCCCAGCCTAGTGGCCTTCAAGGCACTGTTGGCTATTTTTCCTTTGGCAGACTCCATCTTTTGAAAGATTTCCTTCTCTAAACAAAGGCACTTATCAAAAGTTCCTTCTCCCACTTTGATTAATCCCAAATGAATATGTCTGCCCATCAGAGCTTCCATCAGCAGGAAGGACCTAGTGCTCCAAGAGCAGTCCCTCCATGTTTCTGCTGGCCAGAGCCCCAACCCAGGGGCCTGCTTGTTTCTTAACATGAGGAGACCACCAGATGTGCCCTTATGACTACCTTTTATGACCCCACAAGGGGTTCTGGGAGCCCTGTTTGACCAGATGACCATGTGCACCTCTGGCTCCCTCACACTTTGGTCCTGGGTTCCTATCCAGCTGTGAGCCCTTGGGCAGGTCCCCAACATAGTGGGAACTTTGCTTCCTTATCTCCAAACTAGAATAGTAAAGCCTCTGTCACAGCGTTGTTATGAGGATTAGATGATTGGCCAGAAAGTACCTGGTACATTCTCAGCCAACCAAGCACTTAGTAAATGTTTGCTATCAATAGAGTTAGGCAGCTTGGCTTCTAGGTCCCCTGCCCCGCCCTCAGCCAGGCGAGGGACCTGGGAGATTCCATTCCTCACAGGAGCTCAAAGTGGCCTAGAAATCATTTAGATCAGTCCTCAGATGGGGAGGCTGAGGCCAGAGAGGGGTGGTCATTATCCGAATATAACCGTCAACCCCGTGCAGCGTAGTCCCCACTTCACCTGGGGGGAGGGGGGGCATAGCTTCATTTAGAGGGAGAAGCAGAAGGTCCAGGGCTTCTTTGTAACCCATTTGGTCTTCAGTCTCCCCTCCTCAGTGGGTCTGGCTTGGAATAGAGGCTGATAAAGCAGGTGGGGAGTGGATAGTTGGGCAGGCTGCAACCTGCAAGCCTAGGAGCCATGGCTAGGGCATTACCAGCCTCAGCGGGGAGGGGAATTCAGATTCTCCTGCTCTGCAGCCCCCTCCTCACCCTGGCCAGGGAGGCTTATGTTACCAACAGAAACAATAGAATACTCACTTTGCCTATAATCTCTCCAAAGGGGAGACAAATGACTGCCTTTCCTCCCCAGCAGGTGGGGCAGAGGAGCTGTCTTGCTAGTTCTGGAAGGAACAGCCAACCAAATGGCACCGAGAAGGGCTAGGGGCACAGGGAAGGGCTGTCGTCTTGGGGCAGAGGATGTTAAATCATCAGCGGCAGTTGCTCTCAGCCCGAGAGACCCTCAGATATCCCACTCTTACTGCAATCAGCTCAGGACTGCTGTCCTTCCTTTCCCACTAGTGAATGCTACTGCATCTTCTAGGGTGGACCACCTCCATGGAGCTTTGGTAATGATATTGTCAGTGGGCACAGCAATAACTGGGCTGCTCATCAGTAAGCCCCTAGTATGATCAGGCTTTGGCCTATTTAATTGACTCATGGCAACCCATTTTACAGATGGGGAGACAAAAAGCCTCAGCAGAGGAGCCCTTGCCCGGGGTCATATAGCTGGGATGATTTGAACTTCAAGCTGTCTGACCCCATGGCTTGGAAGCCTAGCCCCTTTGATACACAGTGGGCTCTCTGGTAAAGGTGACCGAAGATCTTTTGTGTGTTGGCCTGGTGGCCAGTTCAGTGGGAAGTGCTCAGGCTGCGGAACCAGACCAGACTGCCTTTGAACTTTGCTCTATATATTTAACAACTGTGTGACCCAGGGCAAAGCCCTCAACCTCTATGCACCCCCATCTCACCACTTGTGAAATGAGGCCCTAGCCTCACAGAGCCTGGCCATGGGCTGCCCTAACAGTTCCAGAGGCAGAGAAGGCGCTTTTTTCTCCTCTAAGACTGCGTTTGGGCAGCCACAGTAGCAGAGTCCAGGATTCGGGCCCTAGTAGGTTTTTGTGCTCTCTAGGTTTTCGAAATTGGCTTAATTAATGCATATTTGCTTTTATTACGTACCATACTGAAATAAGTGCTTCACTGGGCTTAACACAACTAATAGTCATATCAACCCTAAAAGATAGGGACTATTTTGGTACCCACACTTCACGCATAGGTAAACGGAGGCCTGAATCACTTGCTCAGAGCCACCCGTGCTGGCTCGTCCCCGAACCCCGCGGTGCTGGGTCTCATTCCAAGCAACATTATATTGTAGTGGGATGCTGCAGGAGGCCTTGCTCTGTGGGGCGCCCCGCCCCCAGCATGGCGGGATCCTGCGCATACCAAGCTCCAGCAACCGCTTGTGCCTGTTTACCCAGCCCGGGGCTGGGGCTGCCGGTCACGTGGCCGTGTTTACCTCTCAGCGGGCACGCGCCGTTCCCGCCCCCTCTCCCCATTGGTTGGCCTGGTAATCCGTACGTGCCACTCCTGCGTGCGCGCGCGCGGCTCCAGGGCTGCCGGAAGAGGGGCGGGGCGGGGTTACATGGGCCCTCCGCCTCTCTCGGAGCGCTCCGTATCCGCCCTGCCGGTACCCACCTCCTCTGCACGCCATGTCAGGCCCGCCCGCTGTCGCCTAGGTTGTGGACCATGCCGCCTGCGTGCTCCTGTGCTCCTTGCGCCCGGCTATTCCCAAATTGGGTTTGCCTCTAAATCGCCACTCTGAGGAGGGGCGCTAGTGGCCCCCATTGTAGGGGAGCCCAGGGTGTTGGACAGATACTTGTGCAATCCACTCCCCTTGCCCTCCTCTAGCATGGAGCAGGGCCGGGCCTCCTGATGGCAAATTTGATCCCGCATGGACCGATGCCCCAGGCCAGTAACAGCCCCCTCTGAATCTGCCAACGCTTTCTCTTTCTGTGCCTCTACTGTGTGCCAGGCCCCCATGTCAGATACTGAGGGCCTGCTCAGTCAGGCAGTGCCCCTCTCCCAAGGACATCCCAGCTCCGCGTGGAGCCAGATACAGTGACAAATGAAGTACCCGAAGGTAGAGACAGGGTGGCTGAGATTCAACTGAGTTCCAACTCACTGTTTCAGTGGCCTTGGCAAGTTGCTTACCTTCTGGGTCTCAGTGTCTTCATTGGGGTCACCTATCTCATAATGGTGCTAGGAGGAGTGGATGGGTCCCCGGCAGGAGTCTGCTCTCATTGCTTTCTGGTACTGTCTGTGGTGGGGCTAGTGATTCTAAAATGAAGGAACAGGTCCAGAGAAGGTTAGGGACCTGCCAGGAAGCACACAGCAGTGACATCAACAAAAATGGGCAGGGCAGAAAGGACTAGGGTCAGGGAGACATTTCAACAGTTAGAGAAGGAGGGAAAGAGAGGCGGCCCACAGCAGGAACATGATGCTCCCCTTATCACTGGTTCAGCTGAGCAAACTCAACCTTCCTTTTGGGGGAAGAAGGTTTGGAGCCTCTGCTAGCCTCTGGTTGCTCATAGTTTGGGTTTTACCCAAAATATATACATAACCAGTTTCAGTTTCACATTTCTTCAGGGTAAGCAAAACTGCAGTGGCATCTAGAGCCATTCCCAGAACACCTGGGGGTTGGACCTGGGCTGTGTGCTCTGAAGAGGGGTTACAATATGCCCACCAGGATGCCAGCTGCATTCACCAGTAATTATGGCAGGTGCCAAGTGTAGCACTAAGGCCATAGAGGGGCTGGTTCGTCCTGCTGGAGTGGGACAGTTGGGAGAAGATCTCAGGGAAAGCTATAAGGACCTAGCTCTTAAAGGATGAGTAGGAGTCCTCTGGAGGGACTGTCATCCCAGACAACAGTGCAGCATGTACAAAGGAAGAGAGGTGTGATGTGTTTTCTCAGGCTCAGCATGTGGCACTTGGGTATGGGCTAGAAGGTCCTCAGGGCATGGACCTTCATTGCTAAGTCACAGAGCCTGACTGGGTCAATGTGAAGTAGCTATGCAGCACTGTCATTGGAGAAAGGAGCAGAGGATTCTGTCCTTGGGCAGCTGTTGTTCATGTCTAGACTGGACGACTGTAGGTTTCACAGTGCCAGGACAATTTAAGATGAAGGTTTCGGCTCAGCTGGTTCGGAGGCCACAAGGGCAGGGGCAGTGCCTAGCCTCTTTCTGCTTCCCTGATACCTGCTCATCTCCCTTCTTATCCAGCAGAGCTGGGGGCCGCCTCAGCCAGAAACATAGTCCAGTGCTTAGGTTTTGTTTGTGCATATACATATGCACATATACGTATGGGCATAATTGTATATTTGTATATATCTTTATTTGTATGCATGTACATATAGACACATATATATATGTTTTAAGTTTTTAATTTTTATGTACTAGCATCTGTTTATAGTGAGGGATACTGTTCTTCCAAATATGGAAGTCATATACCGTTATTTTTTTAAATAAAATTAAATACGTGAAAAAGTGAGCTGCTTAAAGGCAGATACTAAGTAAATAACAGAGCAGATGGAACAAGGATGGCTGAGCTCAGGAAGTGCTGAGCTGTCTCAGCCCAGGTCTGTCCCAGCGGGGGATACTCTCTGGTCTGGGAGTGGTGGAAGATCCTCTGGGGAGAATCCTAGGGGGTCCTAGCCCTATGACCATTGCACCAGTCACTAGACATTTACCAAATTCCTGCTGTGTACTAGGCCCCGATACAAGGGCACTTCTGACCTGGCCTTGATGCACAGATGAGTGCCCAAAAGGGAGGGAGCAACTCATTCTGGCAAGAGAGGCTGTGCTGGGGCTGGGGTTTGAGGAGGGGGTGGGGATAATAACAGTGATAAGCACAGAATACTTCATGTATGTTAGGCCCTACTTTGAAAACGTAGACATATGAATGCATTTTTCAGCAGAATCTTTTGCAGATGGGGAAACCAAGGCACAGAGACCTTAGAGAAGTTGTTCAGGATCTTATAGCTATCAAGGGTAGAGCTGGGATTTGAACCCAGGCAGAAGGTCTCAGAGCCCCTGCCCTTTACCACAGGCCCTGCCCTCTTCCAGGCACCCTGTGCTACTGAGGAGGACACGAGGCCTAATTGGGAGTTGGACACCGATATTTATAGGGTACTGTGATCAGTGCTCAGAATGAGGGGAGTTCTGGTGTGTCATTAGAACTCCTAGGAGACCCCTGACCTAGTGTGGCTGGCCGGGGACAGCTCCTAGGAGTAGGTGACAATTTCCTGGACCAGTAGGGGGCAAGGGCCTACAGAAAGCGGGCCCTGGTGGAGCAGCTGTGGCTTCAGTGAATGCCAGGGGAGAGCAGGGCAGCTCTGACCTCTCGTTTCTCTCCCAGGTACAGCACGTGGGAGCCAGAAGAGCACATCCTGGACCCCCGCCTGGTCATGGCCTATGAGGAGAAGTAAGAGGCTCAGCCTGCCCCGGGGCTGGTCAACAGACAGGCTTGGAGGTTTCCTGGCGAGCCTGCTGCTGGCTTGGCCTGGAACAAGGGGCATGGGCATAGGCACAGGGGTGGGGTTCTGGCAGGGACAGCGCAGACTAGTCTAGCTGGGGGAAGGTGGTGGGCACCAATTCCAGGGAGGCCAGAGTTCCTGGTTAATTTCCTGTTGCTGGGTGATGTTGGCTACTTCCCTCCCCTCCCCAGGCCTCGGTCTCTCTACTGTAACTGGGCCACCCCAATAACCCCTGCTGCGGCTTCTCCATAAGATAGGGGTTTCAGCTGAGGTGATGAATGTAAAAATGTGTCATGGAGATGCCCTTTGTGTGAGGGTCAGCAGTATCAGTAATGCCCATACAGGCCACTGGGGAGAGATCAAAGACATGCTCTCTGGAGATTCCCTTAGCAGAAGACAATCTGATGAAGCTCAGGAAAGGCCTGGGGTTGGGGGGTAGCTTTGGAGCCAGGGGACCTGAGTTCTGGTCCCCACCACTTTGCCCTCTCCTAGCTGAGTGGCCCTGGGCAGAGCCACCTGGGTCTCAGTCTCCCCCATCTGCCAAGCGCTCTGCTGAGACACAGGTTAGTGATTGGCAGCTCCTCCGATGGCCATGAGAGCACATCTCAGCGAGAGCCTTTGACAACATGTCCTTTCTGCTGGTGGGGGCCCTTTGAGCAGAGTCCAGCCATTCCCTGCTGCTGTGCGAGTCCGGTCTCACTGGGCCCTGCCAGCAGGCAGCCCGCGCCCCGCAGCTTCTCCCCAACCACTGACTTTTACAGTGCAGACCGTCTCCTAAAATCAGCCCTTCTGGTAGCCTCCTGAGACAGGGACGAGGTCTCCTCTGACAGGTGGGGAAACAGAGGCTCTGAGGAGCTGTGACACTTGTCCAGGAGCCTCACAGCTGGGAAATAGCCCAACCAGGACTCAACCCAGGCTCCTGACTGCATGTTGGACGTCCTTCCTCTGGCCCTCGTGCCCCCTTCTCCTCTCTTCTCCCCAGGACGTCTCCTGCTGCCGATTCAAAGGGCCAGCTCTCACAGTCCTGCCTTTAAAAATGAGGGTGTCCCTGGCCCACTTCTTTCTGATTCCCGAGAGCTTGTGGGGTCTTCACCAAAGTGGTTGTGACCCTGGGAAGTCCTGTGGGATGCCCTGGAATGTGGTGAGGATACGTGGGCAGGCACCGAAGGCCTGGATTAGAGTCCTGGCGCCTGGCTCTGCCACGCACCAGCTGTGAGGTGTCGAGCAAGGCCTTTCCCTCTGAGCCTCGGCTTCCCCATCTGTGAAATGGGGATAACATGCTGACCTCATGGGGCTTTCTTGAGAAGTAAAGGTATGTGACAGCACTTTGTAAACCCATGAGTGCGGACACACGTGTGGATATTTTCTGATGGTAATTGGGGTCAGCTAGTCATTCTTTGGTTCATTCAACAATCTTGACTGAGATCCTAGTATGTGCCCCGCACTGTTGCAGGTGCTGGGGTCCCAGCAAGGCACAAAAGCAACGCATGTCCCTCCCCCATGTGGCTCACATCCCAGTGTGGAGACACGCTATAAAAAGTGCACTAATAGCCCTGGCTGGTTTGGCTTAGCGGTTAGAGCATTGGCCTGTGGACCCAAGAGTGGGTTTGATTCCGGCCAAGGGCAGGTACCTCGGTTGCAGTTTGTCCCCGGCCCTGGTCAGGGTCGTGCAGGAAGCAACCAATCGATGTGTCTCTCTCACATCTGTGTTTCTCTCTCTCTTTCTCTTCCCCCGCCCTGCCCCCTCCCTTCCACTCTAAGCATAAAAATGGAAAAAATATCCTCGGGTGAGGATTAATTTTTAAAAAAGTGCACTAATAAATATATACGATATCAGATGGTGATCACTGCCTCAGTGATAGGGTAGGGGTCAGGGAGGGGGATAGGTGGGGTGCTGGTTTCCTAGGCTGATAGTGGTTCATCAGAGACCTGAATTAAGTGAGGGAATAAACCCAGTGGGTGTTTTAGAGGACGTCTGGGCAAAGCACAGTGAGTGCAAAGGCCCTGGGGTGAGGCCTGTGTATGAGGAGCAGCATGGAGGCAAGTGTGGCTCTGAGTGTGGCTGATTGGAGTGATGTGAGCTGGGAAACTGGGGGATGAGGGAGGGTTGGGACAGCCAAGGGAGGGCAGGGGCACCTGAAGCTTGGGCTGGCACAGTGCAGAGAATGGCATGATATTTTGAGCCGAAGTCAGTCATTAAGGAACAAATTCGGAGCTTGGAGACGTCTACAGGCCCACTGTGTGGCTGTCTCACACCTTCTCTCAGTCTTAGTTAAAAGGGAGTTGTGTCCACTTACCACATGCTGTGTTCCTGTTAAGAACCCTGCCTATTAATACAGCGTTATTGAGAGCATACAATAAAGTAATGGATTTGAAGCTTGTTCCTCTTAAGAGCCCTGGTGATCAGCTGAGGAGGGAACCTCTTGCTCCGGACAAGAATACTGAGGCCCAGAGAAAGGAAGTGACCAGCCAAGGTCTCCTGTGGGTCAGGGTAGAGCTGTTCCCGAAACAGAGTCCTGGGTCCCAGCACTGGGTTCTGAGAGAAGCTTCTCAGCCTGAAGGGCTTGGGAGGTTTGTCCTGGTGAGCCGCCAGGAGCAGCATCACAGTCTCCTGGGTGCTTCTATCAAATTCTGGTTCCAGGTCCCCACAGTAGACCTGCTGAAGCCAACTCTGTGGGGCCCGGGCGGCTCCACCTGGTGTATTACCTCCAGGAGCCCTGGAGACTGATGTCCCTGAGGGTGGGCAGCTGCTGCCTAGAGGAAGGGGAACGGTGGATACAGTCTCTCAGGATTCTTGGGTTTCGCTGAGCTCAGATTTTAGACAGGCCTAAGGTCACACACCCAGCAAGGGGAAGTGCACTGTTAAAAAAAAAACAACTTCCGTGACTGCAAAAGTTTTTAAAAGAAAGGGTTTATTGGGCCATATGTAGGCCCAAAAGGGACCAGGTCCTGGGGCATAAGGTTGAAGTCAGCAGCTGCAGGGCTTGGTGGAGAGGCGACATGTGCACCGTCCTCGAGTTGACAGGGGCCTCTGGACACGGGCGGGCAGATGTAGGTTTACACTTGTTCGTGTGGAAAATACTAGAATAGCTAATACAGAAATAATACAAGATGAGTTTTGTTTCTCATACTGTCGCCCACCCCGTGCATTCTGTTTTGGGGAAGAAAGATGTAAATTTGGAAAGATTTTACAGATAAGGGGGCAGGAAATAGTGAAGTGGGTGAGAGACCGGAAGGAAGAAATACTTTCCGCTTTTGATCGGTACGGCCCTGAAGGTTCATGCCTGCGCAGGTGTGGTGGTGGCCGGTGGTGTCTGGGTGGACTCCTGAGGTCGATTCAGGATTCAGCGGACATGTGGGCATGTGAGCCATCTTTGGTCAGCGGCCCCCACCCTTACCAGGCGGACTCGCTGTCTCTTTCTCCTACTGTCTGGCTCACGGGAACGGAATTCACAACATCTCAGAATTTTTCTCTTGTCGGGGCGAACTCCTGCCCTCACATTCCTGCTCCGACCATGTGGCCTCTGCCCTGGGGCCACAGAAAGTGTGAATGGAACGAAGTGCGATGGGCAGAACGAAATGACTGACTTTCCCACCACTCCAGGCACGGTTGTTGGCAGCTCTGTGGTGATTTCTGGTGTGTGTTGGTGTGGCTTTGTTTGCAGCTTCAGGTTGTGCCTGTGTTTGTGCATTTGGGATATGGGGAGGCACCCAGCAGTCTGTCATCTCCTAGGGACTCAGTGTAGGCCACTGTAACTCCCTTCCCACAGGAGACAGTCCAGACGAGTAGAAGCCCGTTCTCCCCACCAGTCATGGAGATCCCATTGGGGGACCCCAGGTGGAGGGAGGGACATGCCGATTCTCTATGGCTGCCCTGGCACCTCCAAGGCAAACTTGATTAACAGGTTTCTGTGTAACTCTCCTTAAAGTGGAAGCTGGAACTACATTCTTGGGGGGGGGGGTTCCACTAGCATGTGGAGCAGAGCTCTGGCATGACCCTGGAGCCTAGTAAAGAGCCACATAGTTTTGGAGATGCCACCTGAGTCCCACCCCAGCAGTTGGGACCAGTGGCTGTGCCCTCGCCTTTGTAAGCTAGGAAGACCGAGGCCCTGGGAGTTAAAACAAGGGACCCTGTTGTTATGGCCTAAAGAGAGCAACAGGGAAGAAGTTCTACCCCAGGATTGGGGGTGGCCTGTGGAGGATGCCCCCTCCCCCATAGACTGTAGAGGCAGGGTGGAGCGGATACCCTACTTTCCCTTAAATGTCACCAGTGTTTTCTTTTCTTCTGCCATCTGCTTTGCACCCCAGGGAGGAGAGAGACCGAGCGTCGGGGTATAGGAAGAGAGGTCCGAAACCCAAGCGGCTTCTGCTGCAGGTAACCCACCAGCGCTGGTGCCCACCCATAGGTCCCCATGCTCACCGTGCAATTGCCCAGCTAGTTGAGCCAAACCACTCCCTCTCCTCAGCCTCACCCAGGGATCTGTGGGCGGGAGGCACTTGGCCTCCACCCGAAGCAGAGAAGTAGTTGGGGAAAGTCGGAATGTGGGGCTCATGCCCCAGGAAGGCAACGGGTGGGGGTGCTGTGGTGGGAAGGTGGGTGGACATATGGCTAATGGGCTCCTGGACTTTTAAAAGCTTAGAATCTTATAAATGAGCCTTTTTGATATTCAGAGTCCCCAAAACACATGATTGTAATTGAGATCCTTAGAGACAAAAACTTTAGAATTGAGAAAACATGGGAGCCTGGAATTGTAGGATGCAAGTAGAGGAGGCTCTTGGCATTCTGGACCCATAGTCTTGGAAGGTCTTAGAAATATGTCATTTTTGAGTGAGAAGAACCCTATGGGGCTTTCTTTTCCTACTCTCTGCCACAAGTGGGCCTAGACTCTGACATCCTGTTGCCTAGGCCTTGGGGACACTTTGCTGACCCCACTGCTCTACACTGAAAGAGGATGGAGTTTGAAGTAATGTTGTTTTGTGATTTGAGGCAATTATGTTATGTGATTAGCTTTTCTGAGCCTAAGTTTTCTCATCTGTAAAATCAGAATGATGGGAATACCTGCTCTCCTGAATTTAGTAAGTCCCATCCAGGTGTTTGGAATAAAAATAAGTCTTCTAGGTCCATGTGCTGTGTGAGCCATGTCTTCCCTCCTGTCCACTCTTGATTGTGTATCACTTGAGGCTTTTGCCAGAGTAGATGGGCCTCTCTTCTTGCAGTGGGTGGGTTCCACAGGGCTTGATGTAAATTGGGTCCCAGGAAGGAAAGGGACATCTGTCAGACATCTCCATGCTCAGCTTCGTGCCCAGTGCTCTACAGAATGGCCATACTTCATCTGCACAGTAAACCTCTAGAGAAGGTGTATTATCATCTATTTCTGTGTAATCAATTCCCTCCTAGCTAAGCAACTTAAAGCAATAAACACTTGTGATATCACACAGTCTCCGTGGGTCAGGAAATTGGGAGTGCTTTAGCTAGCTCTTTAGTGATTCTAGTTTGGCTCACAGTCATGATGTCGGCCAGGGATGCACCCATCTGAAGGCTTGACTGAGGCTGGATGATCTGCTTCCAAAGTGCTACGCACAAGCGCTACTCACAGGCGTGTCAGGGCAGATGTTGCCAGGGGGCCTGGTTCCTTACCCTGTGGCCCTCTCCAGAGGGCTGCTGAGTGGCCTCACAGTATGGCCACTAGCTCCCCCAGAGTCGGTGATCCAAGAGAGAGAACAAGGAAGAAGCAGTGTCTTTAATGGCCTAGCCTTAGAAGTCCCACACTGCAGTGTTCAGCGCACGAGGGGACCACACACAGGTGCGAGTCCCCAGAGGCAGGCATTGCTGGGGCCATCCCGAAGGCTGGCTACCATAGCTTCTTCACTGTTTCACGGAGGAGGAAACAAGCCCAGGTGGGCCGGTGGTTTCCTAGGGTCACACAGCTGGATTAAAACCCAGATCTGAGTTCTGACGCTCCTGGATCCCTGTTAGTAGCTGTAGTTCTCTCGTGGTGAGGTAGAGAAGGACAAAGATGAGTCCACCTTGCAGAATGGGGGAGAGTTTACTGGGCTTGTGATGGCCTGCGAGCCAGGCCGAAGAAATGGGTTTTGATAAAGCAGCAAATAGGATAAAGCATTGAAGCATTCTCCCAATCCCTCCCAGTTCAGCCCTCTTCCCATCACCAAGGCAGCTCACACTCCACGCCCACAGATGGGCATGAGCAGGTGGGACTAGAGAATGGAGCTTGCACATGTGATCTTTGTTCCCACCTGGACATGTTTGGCCTACAGGTCCCATCTGATGGCCCCTGTTTTTTTTCCTGGGAGCTCTCGGCCTCTGGTGAGAGGTAGCAGTAGAAGTTGCTACACCAGAGTGATCTAAGCCTTCCAACATTCTAGCACCAAGGATCTTTCCTGGACTTGTATAAATTACCCCCCAAAGTCAATAAGACAAATCCCCAAATTGTAAAACACCAGCCCTTGAGTAGTGGAAGAACCTTCCTTTCAGCCTGTTTTAACAAGAATGAGGCAGGCCATCAACAGAAGCCTAGGCCCGGATGGGGCCACATAGCAGCTCAGGGCTGAGCAGTGCCCTAAAGGGATCTGGGGTGCCCGCAGGCTACTGGCAGTGCCCTGCGCCACCCAGTGCTGCGTGTCCCCCTTGATTAACTTGCCCCAAGAACCTTCAGAGCCCTCTGCCTCACATCGTCTCCCTGGGGAGCTGTCTGTCTCAGCTGTGGGGGTCCTTCAGTGAGCAAAGATTCCTTCTCTATGATGAAGAAGAACTTAATTTATCTGCTTCAGAAATCCAGATCTGTTTTTGTACCTCTTGTACCTCCCCTGTGTACCAAAGGCATATGCCTGTGGCCCTCCGTTCCTGAGCCCTTCACAGCCCCAGGGGGGATGAGGCCCTGTGGGCTGCAGGACGGGCTGGTTAGGGTGGCTCTGGGCTGGGCTGGGGGCGGGGTGATGGCTGCCTCTGGGCCATGAAGCATGGGGAAGGGCACTCAGGCGGGGGGAACAGCATGAGCAAAGGCGCGGCAGTGGGTGGGAGGGCAGGGCTGACCCGCCGTGCCCTGGCTTGCCCCCGCAGCGGCTGTACAGCATGGACCTGCGGAGCTCCCACAAGGCCAAGGGCAAGGAGAAGCTCTGCTTCTCCCTGACGCGCCCACTCGGCAGCGGGAGCCCTGAGGGGGTGGTCAAGGCGGGGGCGCCTGAGCTGGTGGACAAGGGCCCTTTGGTGTCCACCCTGCCCTTCCCGCTCCGCAAGCCCCGAAAGGCCCACAAGTACCTGCGGCTCTCACGCAAGAAGTTCCCGCCCCGCGGGCCCAACCTGGAGAGTCACAGCCATCCACGGGAGCTCTTCCTGCAGGAGTCACCGGCCCCGGACGTCCTGCAGGCAGCCAGCGAGTGGGAGCCTGCTGAGCAGCCCCCTGAAGAGGAGGGTAAGGTGGTCCAACCCGTGGCCCAGGCCCAGAGACCCTCAGAGCTGGAAAGATCCCTTGAGTCATCAGGTTCAGCTGGCCTAATGCCCAGAGAGGGCATGGTGTGCTCCGGAGGCCACACACAGCCTGCAAGGTCCCTGGTGCCCAGCCCAGAGCTCTTTCTGTGGTCCTGCTCAGGATGACTTCTGGTCCAGCCAGGAAAGATACATGTAGTGACCTCCTCCCATTTGTCCAGTCCTGAGCTAGGCCCTGACCTGGCTGGAGACTCAGAGGACAGCCTGGCGTTGGGGGTGGGGAGTAGTCTGCATGCTGCCACCTGTTCCCAGCTTCCCCACCTTGTTGTCAGCACTGTCCTCTATCTGTCCTGTCTTTCTTCCATGGCTATAGCAGATGCAGACCTGGCAGAGGGGCCCCCTCCCTGGACACCTGCGCTCCCCACAAGTGAAGTGACAGTGACCGATATCACCGCCAACTCCATCACCGTCACCTTCCGTGAGGCTCAGGCGGCTGAGGGCTTCTTCCGAGACCGCAGCGGGAAGTTTTGAATCACCGTTTTTACTTTCTTAAACTGTTTTCTTTTGGGCTTGGGGTGGGGACTTCCAGAGATGGGGAAGGGTTGAAGGTGGGGTAATTATTTTATTTAAAAATATGGAACAGGAGAAGGGGGAAGATCCCAACACTCTCCCACCATCCTGCCCCTTGCTGTGTGAGTGATGTTTACAGAGATGCCTCCAGGTCTGTTTCTGGTGAGGGAGAGGGGAGGCCTGGCACTGCGCTGTCAGTTTGGGTACAATGTCCAGGGCAGAATGGGGACAGGGCCACCCTCCCTTGGACACCTCCGTCACCATTCTGCTCTAGACACAGCAGCTCGTCCTAGTTACTACAGGAGACTGGAAAGGCCCAAAGCCTCCCCCAGCAACCCACCCCAGCCTTTCTGGTTGATTTTTCCTTTTCCCTATTTTTGGTGGGGAGGGGTCTTTATTTGTAACTTTGCACTCCAGCTTGCGGTGGGGTGGGAGGCTGCCTTTGACCAGGGTGAGGTCAGAGAGAAGGGGTAAAAGGAAGGGTTAGAGATTGCTGCAGTGTCCCGTGTGCCCAGTTCCTGCAGGGAGGTCCCTGCCTTCCCCGGGGTCTCAGCAGAGCTGCACCTCCGCCCGTCCCTGCCTGTGAGAAACACTCGTGTGCACGCCCAGCTGCACGGGCTCACGCACACCCCACCCTCTTGCCCCAGTGAGTGCGTGCATGTGCCTGCAGACGTGTGCAGTGGGTCTTGCAAATCTCCACTTAGAAGCTCCGATCAGGTGAATGTGGGGTGATTCACAGCACAGAACAACTTGCCACGGGCACCACACACTCTCCCCTTCTGGCACAGCCCATTGCGTGACAGGACCTAGCCCAAGTCCCTTTGCTGGAAGCTGTCGGCGGGCCTGGCCATGGCCAGCCGGGGGTGTGAGCTCCCTGCGGACGGGCCAGGCCTCCGAGCAGCTCTGGCTGAGGCACTTGGGCCCTGTGCTTCCTCGCGAGGGGCTCCTGTTCTCTCTGACTCAGGTGACTTTCCAGCCCTTCCCGCTCCCCTTTCTTTGCCCTCTCCTCAGCTCAGCCCACGCTGGGTGTGTGGGTGGTGGTCAGGGAGGGAGGGCATGTCCCACCACCTTCTCAGGGCAGCCTCAACTCCCTGCATCCTTCCTCCTTACATTCTGTACCCCTCTCCACCGCCGTCCATGCCGAAGCTGGGCTGGCCTTGTTCCCCGTGGTGGGGCCTCTGCCATGTCTTCCTGCGGCCGGGCCCACTCCACCCACGCACAGGAGGCTGCCTGCCGGGAGGAGGGGCACTCACTTTCTAGTTTGCACACGTACCCTGTGGACTGGTAGCTTCCCTGGCAGTGAGGAATGACTTCTCCCCTCCCCAGCCCTCTAGGGGAGAAAAAGCCAGGTGACTGGGGGGTGAGAGCTGGGGGTGCCAGAGAGCAAGTGAAGCCTGGCCCCCCCACCCTTCCGCACCTGCGCTGTGCCGTTTGAGGCAAGGGCAGGGTGATTCCTCCCCAGACCCCTGCTTCCCAAGCTCCCAAACCAAAGACAGCCTGCACCCCATTTCTGTTTCGGGTGCCCTGCTGGCAAGATTCTCAAGTCCCTGGTCTCTCTCCTCTTCCTCCTGAATCCTTCATTGTCCAGGGTCAATTTAGTGCTTCCATTGAGGGACAGTCCCCTCCAGAGTGACTTGATTCCCCCCAGCCTGGGGAGTTGAATCTAGAGGATTAAGTGGGGTGGGTCAGGGAAGGGAGGGGCAGCTGCGGGACCCTGGGAGGGGAAAGGCAGCTGGAGTTGGGCACTCTCCCGGCGCGGTGCTGGAGGGCGGGGCAGGGAGGGCCCTGAGTGCTGTCGGCTCCTGGTGAGCAGCTTCCAGTGTAGGTCATGCTCCACACGCCAGGGGACACGGACCTCTCTGTCCCGTGGGCACTTTCAGAGAGCTGTTTGTGCAGTTTGCAGAATCAGGACCTGGGGGCCTTTTGTAGAATGAGGCAGACGTTTTTCTTTTGGCAGCAACGGAACACTTCTTACTCAGCCTTTCCCCGGCGCCCTGTCTCAGAGAGGGCTCAGCCCTGCAGGAGCCTGCTCCCTGGGAGAAGGGCTGTGGTCCATTAGGACCCCCTCCCCCAGGACGTAGACCTCTATGAGGGGTCGGGTGTGGCCTTGCAGGCCTCTCCTGGCCCTGAGTGTTCCAGCCTGAGAGGGGAAAGGGGAACACTGGCCTCCCACTCACCCCACCTCCACCCAGGCCAGTGGTCGAGGGGTGGGGGCTTAGAAAGCTTGGACCACCTGCCTCTCTTCCCCAGCTCCCACCCGTTTGAATGTAGGTGGTACTTTTCTTTTGCTATGAGATTGGACAAGAAGGATGTTCTCCACCCCTGGCAAGGCCACTCGTAATGCCGCCGCAAGCCCTGTTGGACAACACACTGGTCATCGCCCCGTTGATCCCATTGCCAACTTCTCTCCTGCTGAGGGAAGGCCCTATGCTTCTGTGTCGCTTTGCTTTATAAGTGGCCAGCCTGGCCTCCAGGTCTCAGCACAAGAACGCTTCCTTTGCACAGAATGAGCAGTGAGCTTTGTTCAGACGAAATGAATGTACTTGGGAGGGTTGGGCGTGAACTGACCCCAGCACGTGCCTTTCTGAGTGGTGTGTGCTGGGGGAGCCAGAGTGGATGCAGAGCTCGGTTTTATTTTTGTACTGACATTGGGAAGAGACTGTGTAGCATCTATTTATTTAGATGATTTATCTGGTAAATGAGGCAAAAAAATTATTAAAAATACATTAAAGATGATTTTAAAAAAAGTTCTTGTGCATTCAGTTCCTCTTTGATGGCATCACTGCTGTGCCAAGGAAAGAGCTTGCCCTCCAGGGCGAGCCTGGGGTTTAGGCCCGAGGTCTGCCAGGTACTGACCATGACCTTGGACAGGTCAGTTTTCTGTGACCTTCAGTGTAGAATGAAGACGAATTCAGGAGTGGGTGGGAAGTGGGTGGGGACTGGGAATGGGGTAGATGGGTGCACCCAGCTGTGTGGTCAGGGTTAGAGGAGAGGAGTGGCTGGGGTGGGCTGGCCCAGGGTGTGCTTCTGTTACCCCTTGTTCATGTGTGGGCGGGGGGCACACCTGGCCTTGCTGGCGGCTCCTAGACCGCTCCCTTAGGAAGTGGGGGACTCTCCTGGCTGGTTTGGTTCAGCGGTTGGAGCGTCCGCCTGTGGACCAAAGGGTGTGGGTTCGATTCCGGTCAAGGGCATGTACCTGGGTTGTGGTTTGGTCCCCGGTCCTGGTTGGGATCATGCAGGAGGTGACCAGTCAGTGTGTCTCTCTCACATCAATGTTTTTCTTTCCCTCCTACTCTATCTGAAGACAAATGGAAAAATATCCTCGGGTGAGGACTAAAAAAAAAAGAAGACCAAAGTGGGAGACTTAGCATCCCTTGTCCTTAGCTTTGAGCATTGACCCTAATTTGGACCCCCAAGAAAAGTCCCATAGGCACCCGGTACACATTCCACCGGGCCTCAGGTCTGTTTCCAGAGCACAGCCTTCTGTGTGGGCTCTCCCACTGCATCTTTCACGGCTGTGTCAGCCGTGGTGAGGTGGCCCCTGGCTGCAGAGGCCTCTGGCTGGAGGCAGTGCTCCTTGTCCTCAGTTCTTGTCTTGTAGGAACAAATTCAAACAAGGGACAACAAGTAGCAAAGTAGGCGAGGATTTATTTGCAGAAACGAAATGCATTCAGATATAGTCAGAGGGAGAACTCAGCCGCTGAAACCAAACCAAGTGCCCCGCTCATTTGGGGTTTGGGGAATTTATACCCCTAGGCGGGAGTGTCCCTAACTGTCTCCTCCCTTATTGCTAAAAAAAAATACATGTATCTTGCCCTGGCCAGTTTTGGTTTTTTTGTTTGTTTGTTTTATCCTCATCCGAGGACATTTTTCCATTTTTTGTACAGACAGAGTGGGAGGGAGAGAGAGGAAGAGAGAGAGAGGGAAACATCGATGTGAAAGGGACACATCGAGTGGCTGCCACCCGCACAACCAACCAGGGCCGGGGACAAACTGCAACCGAGGTACATGCCCTTAGCGGGAACCGAACCCGGGTCTCTCCGGACCGCAGGCGGACGCTCTAACCGCTGAGCCAAACCGTCCAGGGCTCCCTGGCCAGTTTTGCTCAGTGGTTAGAGCATCGGCCTGTGGAGCAGAGAGTCCCGGGTTTGGTTCCTGCTAAGGGCATGTACCTCGGTTGTAGTTTGTCCCCGGCCCTGATTGGGGTAGTGTGGGGGGCGATCATTCAATGTGTCTCTCTCACATCAATGTTTCTCTTTCTTCCTCCCGCTCTATCTGAAGATAAATGCAAAAATGTCCTCGGGTGAGGAAATAAATAAATAAATAAATAGTCTGTTTTTTAAAATGTATGTGTGTGTGTGTGTCTTCAAGCTATAAGACTTCTTCACCTGGGTGCTATACCACCAGCTGGACCACATCCTGGAGAGACTCTACATCTCCCTCACACAGGACCTGTGGCCTTCCTTCTGTGTCTAGTTTGGGGTTGTCACGTCTCATTCATATCCCCCACGCCCTAAATGCCTTACCAGCTATATCTTTCTAGCTGCCAACTCTAACAGGTGGAGACAAATACTTAGGTTATGGTTAGCTGGTCAAGTCAGCACAGCTAGGAGGTACTGAGCCAGGAAAGTGAACCGTGTCTCACGACAGTAGCCCCCTTATCCATAATTTTACTTCTCGTGGTTTCAGTTACCCATTGTCTGAGAATATGAAAAGGAAACTTTGAGAAATAAACAATTCAACATTTTAATTGTGTGTCTTTATGAGGAGCGCGATGAAATCTGCCTTCCCACCTGTCCTGCCCAGGATATGAAGCATCCCTTTGTCCAGTGTCTCCACTTGGTATATCCTCTCCCATGTGTTAGTCACTTAGTAGCTGTCTCCGTTAGTGTCCAGGACGGCGGCACAGGCCCCACTGGGGTCGTGGCCGCAGCGAGTCCTCTCGGTCCCACCAGGGACTCCCCACTACAGCCCTCTTGCCGGCCTCCTTGAGTCTCATTAAAACCCTGCAAAGCATGTGGTAAGTGGACATCACTCCCTTTTCACCGAGACAGAGAAGGTGTGAGACAGCCACACAGTGGGCCTGCAGACGTCTCCAAGCTCCGAATTTGTTCCTTACCGATGGACTCCTGCTCAAAATATAACGCCATTCCTCCACCAGGACGTACTCCGCCCTCCCTGCACTGTGCCAGCCCGACCTTCAGATGCCCCTGCCTTCCCCTGGCTGTCCCCAACCCTCCCTCATCCCCCAGTTTCCAGCTCACATCACTCCAATCAGCCACACTCAGAGCCACACTTGTCTCCATGCTGCTCCTCATACACAGGCCTCACCCCAGGGCCTTTGCACTCACTGTGCTTCACCCGTACGTCCTCTAAAACACCCACTGGGTTCATTCCCTCACTTAATTCAGGTCTCTGATGAACCACCACCAGCCGACCACCTAGGAAACCAGCACCCCACCTATCCCCGCCCCCCCGACCCCTACCCTATCACTGAGGCAGTGATCACCATCTGATATCATCATACATGTTTATTAGTGCACTTTTTATAGCGTGTCTCCACACTGGGATGTGAGCCACATGGGGGAGGGACATGCGTTGCTTTTGTGCCTTGCTGGGACCCCAGCACCTGCAACAGTGCGGGGCACATACTAGGATCTCAGTCAAGATTGTTGAATGAACCAAAGAATGACTAGCTGACCCCAATTACCATCAGAAAATCCACACGTGTGTCCGCACTCATGGGTTTACAAAGTGCTGTCACATACCTTTACTTCTCAAGAAAGCCCCATGAGGTCAGCATGTTATCCCCATTTCACAGATGGGGAAGCCGAGGCTCAGAGGGAAAGGCCTTGCTCGACACCTCACAGCTGGTGCGTGGCAGAGCCAGGCGCCAGGACTCTAATCCAGGCCTTCGGTGCCTGCCCACGTCTCCTCACCACATTCCAGGGCATCCCACAGGACTTCCCAGGGTCACAACCACTTTGGTGAAGACCCCACAAGTTCTCGGGAATCAGAAAGAAGTGGGCCAGGGACACCCTCATTTTTAAAGGCAGGACTGTGAGAGCTGGCCCTTTGAATCGGCAGCAGGAGACGTCCTGGGGAGAAGAGAGGAGAAAGGGCCATGAGGGCCAGAGGAAGGACGTCCAACGTGCAGTCAGGAGCCTGGGTTGAGTCCTGGTTGGGCTATTTCCCAGCTGTGAGGCTCCTGGACAAGTGTCACAGCTCCTCAGAGCCTCTGTTTCCCCACCTGTCAGAGGAGACCTCGTCCCTGTCTCAGGAGGCTACCAGAAGGGCTGATTTTAGGAGACGGTCTGCACTGTACAAGTCAATGGTTGGGGAGAAGCTGCGGGGCGCGGGCTGCCTGCTGGCAGGGCCCAGTGAGACCGGACTCGCACAGCAGCAGGGAATGGCTGGACTCTGCTCAAAGGGCCCCCACCAGCAGAAAGGACATGTTGTCAAAGGCTCTCGCTGAGATGTGCTCTCATGGCCATCGGAGGAGCTGCCAATCACTAACCTGTATCTCAGCAGAGCGCTTGGCAGATGGGGGAGACTGAGACCCAGGTGGCTCTGCCCAGGGCCACTCAGCTAGGAGAGGACAAAGTGATGGGGACCAGAACTCAGCTCCCCTGGCTCCAAGTCCACACCGCTGGACCCAGCCTTAACAAAGTACCACAACTGGGTGGCTTTTAGCAACAGCAATGTGTCCTCACAGCTCTGGGGGACAGACGTCCGGAGTTAAGGTCGGCAGGCTGGGCTTTCTCTGAAGGCCCCTGTGTCTGCTGCAGGGGGGACCTTTGCCCTCTGGTGTTGCCCAAAATCCTTGGCTCGAAGAACATCCCTCCGGCCTCTGTCCCCACATGGCCTTCCCCCTGGAAGTCCGTGTCTGTGTCACCTCTTCTTGTAAAGGCACCAGTGGTATTAGATCAAGGGCCCACCCTACTTCAGTATGGCTTCACCTTAAATAATCACATCTGCAAGGACCCTGATTCCAAATAAGGTCACATTCTGAGGTTCCGAGAAGGACATGAATGGGGGAGGCAGAATCTCCGACCCGGTCCACACATATTTCACGTGCACGTTGAAAACTTCCTCACATACGTGGTAGAGACGACTAACTGTCCCACTGTATTAAGGCTCCCATTTCGGAGTGTATAACCCCTGATTTTTAGCAGCTTATCCAAAATGAAGGCTGCATTTCCCAGACTCCTTTGCTGCTAGGTCTGGACAAGTGACTAAGTCCCGGTCAGGGAGATGTGAGAATGAAGTCCATATGGCAGCCTCTGGGACCCCGCCTTAGCAGCTAGCTTGGCCTGTGCCCTGTCTTCTCCTCTCCCCCATCTGGCTGACAGAACACGATGTTACAAGTGTCTGCTCGCTGGGCCAGGAGGACAAAGTCCCCACATGTCCCGGGGATGGCCTGGCAGGACGCTGGGAGCCCCTGGGTCCTGAATGACTGCAGTCACCGTCCCAGCTCTGCGGCTCACACCTGGACTCCTGTGTGAGGTAAGCGGCCGCCCAGGGCGGCGGGCTGCAGGAGCCCAGGGACACCGTCACCCTGAAGAAATGTGAAACTGAAACTGTTTACATATGTATTTTGGGTAAAACCCAAACTATGAGCAACCAGAGGCTAGCAGAGACTCCGAACCTTCTTCCCCCAAAACGAAGGCTGTTTGCTCAGCTGGAACCAGTGATAAGGGGAGCATGGTGTCCCCGCTGTGGGCCGCCCCCCCTCCCTCCTCTAGCTGTTGAAACAGCTCACTGACTCTAGCCCTCTGTGCCCTGCCCACGTCCCCACCACCCTGCCCACTTTGTGAGTGTCATTTCTGTGCGGTTCCTGGCAGGTCCCTAACCTTCTCTCATTCTCGGTTTCCTCATCTTGGACTCACTAGCCCCACCAGACAGCAGCAGAAAGGAGTGAGAGCAGGTCCTGCCGGCACCCGTCCACTCCTCCCAGCACCGTTATGAGGTAGGTGACCCCGATGAAGACACTGAGACCCAGAAGGTAAGCAGCTTGCCAAGGCCACTGAGACAGTGAGTTGGAACTCAGTCGAATCTCAGCCACCCTGTCTCTACCTTCGGGTACTTCACTTGTCACTGTATGTGGCTCCCCGCGGAGCTGGGATGTCCTTGGGAGAGGGGCCCGCCTGCCTGAGCAGGTCCTCACTGTCTGACCTGGGCCTGGCACGCAGTGGGGCACAGAAAGCGCTGGCAGATTCAGAGGGGCCGTTACTGGCCTGGGGCATCGGTCCTAGCACAGTGTCAGATTTGGCAGCGGGAGGCTTGGCCCTGATTCGTGCTGGGGGTGTGGTTTGCACAGGTGTTTCTAACACACTTGGTTTCCTACCAATGGAGACCATAAGCGCCCCTCTGCAGAGTGGGGAGCCAGAGGCCACAGGGAGGGTGAATCTGCTTTGCATAAGGCTGGGCACAAGCAGAACAGAAGTGCGTCACAAGCCGGGCACACAGCCGGGGCGAAGGGGTGGCAGGTGAAGCATGCAGAGGGAGGGGACTCAGGATGGGCCGGAATCCTGCACTATTTGGGGGACAGTGGGCCCCTCTTGTCCCGGCACACCAGCCCATCGCATTCTGCCCCACCCGCCGCAGCCCCCACCGCCTCCCCTGCTGTCCTCACTTTCACTTTCCCTTTGCAGTGACCCTGGGTCCTGGGGCCCCGCGGAGCCCGTCTCCAGCAGAGGTGGCGCTCTGCCCAGAGGGGGGGCAGAGGAGAGAAGGTGAGTCTGAGCCTGAGGAGGCTCACACCCAGGCCCCCTCTGCAGGAAGGGCTCAGCGGAGAAGGCTGGGCGGCCCTCAGACAAGGGACTCGCCTAACGCAGAGGCCCTGGAGAGGAGATAGAGCCAGATGCCCATGGCAGCCTGGCCGGTTTAGCAGCGGTTAGAGGGCGGCCTGCGGTCCCGAGAGACCCGGGTTCGGTTCCCACTAAGGGCACGTACCTCCATTGTAGTTTGTCCCTGGCCATGGTTGGTGGTGCGGTGGCAGCCAGTCAGTGTGTCCCTTTCACGTTGATGTTTCTCTCTCTTTCCCTCTCTCTCCCTCCCACTCTACCTGAACAAAAAATGGAAAATGTCCTCCAGTGAGGATAAAAAACAAACAAATAAACAAAACAAAAACAGACTGCCCGTGACAAGGCAGGCCCGGGGCAACCCTGCTGCAGTCAGGCTAAGTCAAGGGCCCGAGTGGAGGGAAGAAGGTGGCTCTGAGGACCCAGAGAAGCCCAGTCACCCCAGGGCCTCCCACCCTGGGTTACCATGGCCGGAGAAAATGGTTCCACCACTTCAGACAGTTGTGGCAAGCCTGCCACACAGGCCAGGGCCAGACCGCCCGGACCAGGCACCACTGTCCGCCCACCTCCTTGACGCAGGCTCTCCTCCTGCCTCCTGTCCACCCGCCCTGGGCTCTCTCTCTCTCTGTCTCTGAGCCATCTCTGCAGGGCCTGCTCCTGCCTCCTGTCCACCCTGTCCTGGGCTCTCTCTTCTCTCTCTCTCTGAGCCATCTCTGCAGGGCCTGCTCCTGCCTCCTGTCCACCCCGCCCTGGGCTCTCTCTCTCTCTCTCTCTCTCTGGGCCATCTCTGCAGGGCCTGCTCCTGCCTCCTGTCCACCCCGCCCTGGGCTCTCTCTCTCTCTCTCTGAGCCATCTCTGCAGGGCCTGCTCCTACCTCCTGTCCACCCCGCCCTGGGCTCTCTCTCTCTCTCTCTCTGAGCCATCTCTGCAGGGCCTGCTCCTGCCTCCTGTCCACCCCGCCCTGGGCTCTCTCTCTCTCTCTCTCTGAGCCATCTCTGCAGGGCCTGCTCCTGCCTCCTGTCCACCCCGCCCTGGGCTCTCTCTCTCTCTCTCTGGGCCATCTCTGCAGGGCCTGCTCCTACCTCCTGTCCACCCCGCCCTGGGCTCTCTCTCTCTCTCTGGGCCATCTCTGCAGGGCCTGCTCCTGCCTCCTGTCCACCCTGTCCTGGGCTCTCTCTTCTCTCTCTCTCTGAGCCATCTCTGCAGGGCCTGGTCCTGCCTCCTGTCCACCCCGCCCTGGGCTCTCTTCTCTCTCTCTCTGGGCCATCTCTGCAGGGCCTGCTCCTACCTTAGGCCCAGCCCTGCCTCTGCAGCAGCCGCAGCACCTCCCGCAGCCTGTCTCCACGGCACTGTCATATCCCTCAGCAAGGCCACCGGGGCTTCCTAAAGCCCATTGTTCAAGCTCTTCTGTCCACGTCAGGGTCAAGGACAAGTGAAGCAATTGTTGGAGGCAGCTAAAAAGCAGATTGATTCATTTTATTTTAAAAACTTACCCAATTTCCAAGGAATGTTCTAATTTCTGCTCCATGGAGGGAAAACAAGAAAAGAAGAAAACTTGTTCACCATGAAGACACGGCCAAGTGCGAAATATCAGATTGACCCGTGAGCACTTCTTCTGGTTGTTTCTGGCCCCTACTCCTCTAGCTCTTCAAGGCCCAGGGTCAGCATTTGTGCTGTTAAGGTCGTGCGCCTGTCTAGAATCTGAAACAGTATTTCAGCCTGGAGTGTCCACGTTTGCCCGCCCAGTAGGGAGTTTCCCAGAATGTGGGAACTTCAGGGCTGAAATCAGGAAGATTTTGTCCTAAGTGTGCTCTGAGTGGGTGTCTTCCTTTTAAGCCTCACCCTGAGGGCAGCCGGTGGCCCTCACTGGGAGCACAGGCTTGTGGCGATGTCCCTGGTCAGTAATAGGAGGCCAGTCTTAGATGGTCTCTTCAGCAGTTGTCATCCAACTCCACTGGAAGATTCACTAACTAGCATGCAACGTCAGAGGTGGGTTTCCATGGATGGAATTAATGCTTCTGTGAATTAGCATAACAGATATCAGAAATGGTTCTTCACGGGTACAGTCAGTGGTGTTTCAGTGAGTTGGCAGGAAATATGGGGGAGTCGTTTCTGGCTTTGCAGTAACAGGGTATGCAAATCAATTGCACCCATGAAGGGCACCCTCGGCTTGATTCCTGCATTCAGAGGTAAGTGTCTGAGATCTGCAGTCACCTGAGAGTGACTCAGTGGTCAGCCAGGTCACAGTAGCCATAGGTGGACTGTCCAGGACAGCAGACTGGGGTTCCATCAGGCCTCCCACGCTTGTTCACACTGGTGTCCACTTGGTTACGTATGTCCCCGTGCAGCCAGGTCTGGCCAGAGCGAGCTCCAGACACTCCCTGGGGGCGTGGCAGGAAGGCGCTGAGTTCTGGGCCCCTACTTCTACCTGTGCAGAGAAAACAGCATTTCTTTTTTTTAGAAAGAGAGGAAGGGAGAGAGAAACAGAAACATCTATGTGAGAGAGAACATAGATGGGCTGCCTCCTGCACACCCCCTACTGGGGATTGAGTCTGCAACCCAGACATGTGCCCTGACCAGGAATCGAACCAGGACCTCTCAGTCCATGGGACGATGCTCCATCCACTGAGTCACACTGGCCAGGCAGAAAACAGCATTTCTCAAAAAGAATCCATTGGTTCTGCATGCCCGTGTGGGCTAGGTCACTTTGCAAATGTAATACTCAAATTTTTTTTTTTATCCTCACCCGAGGACATTTTTGCATCTATCTTCAGAAACAATGGGCGGGAGAGAGGGAGGAAGAGAGAGAGAGGAACATTGACGTGAGAGAGACACATCAAGTGGTTGCCACCCACACGACCCCAACCGGGGCCGGGGACGAACTACAACCAAGGTACCTGCCCTTAGCGGGAACCGAACCCAGGTCTCTCTGGTCCGCAGGCAGATGCTCTAACTGTGGAGCCAAACTGGCCAGGGCTGTAATATTCAATTTTTAAAAAGCAAGACATAAAATGGAATATTCCATAAAGTATAACCACAATTAAGGTGAGTAACAGCTATGTGAGTTCTTCAGCCAGAAGTTTATGTCACAATAGTCCCTTGATAACACCAATGTTTCCTGTTTGTCTGCCTCTGTGTTCTTTGTACACACAAAATTGTGACGCACACACCCAGGCAAAGAGCACAGAGGTAGAGGAAGCATCAACTTCCACCCCTCAGTCTCCAAAGAGAAGGTTCTGGCATTGGACACATCCTGTGGGATCTGGGGCTCAGGACACAGGCCTATGAGCCAAGGAAGGACATGTAGTGACCAGTTGTCAGGGTGCGGCCCCCACCCAGCCCAGCCGCCCTGCCTTCAGTGGTTTCCATGATGGGTGCTGGTGGGGGCTCAGCCGGCTGGAGATGGGAGGCAGCATGGAGGTGGCAGATCTCTCTCTCCTCTTCCTTCTCCCTTCCCAATCCTCCTGGCCCACGAAGAAAGAGGAGATACTTCCTTACCACCCCCAGAGACCCAAAGAGACCCAAAGAGTTGGGTTCAGAAGGTGACAGAACCTGGAATGACATCAGGGGATGCTCTCTGCATCTTCAATGTTCTCTTTCCTCTTGTGCAGAAACACAATGAACCTGCTAACAGAAAGCACCTTCTGCTACCAGTTTGGCAACCAGCACAAAGTCAAGGAGCCCAACGGCAGAAGGAAGACCTACTTGTGCTATCAGCTGAAGCTCCCCGATGGTCAGACACTCCACAAAGACTACATTAAAAACAAGGTGCCCAGCGGGCTCCCTGGGCCCAGGGCAGGAGGGATAACCGCAGCCATTGTGCAGGGAAAATACTGGGACTGGCTGGCTCTGAGTTGGCCCTGCTTCCCCGGAACTCTGTGTTCCTTCCGTCCTGGGCTTAGAGAAGCCATTCCCTCCAGCAACGCTCTGCTTGCCCGTGTGACAAGCTGATGTTTACTGGTCCTCCATCTCAGCTTCGCAAAGCCAAGTGCTCTTCCGAGGACTGGGTGCTTCCCTCCACCTGAAGACCTCATAACACACCTGCTTTCCGCTTGTTTTCCGAGCTGGCTGTCCCTCCTCCTGCTGCTCTGGTCTGCTTCTGGGGGCCCTTAGGTTCAAACATCTCCAGACAACTTCCTGGACAAGTGTCAAAACAGGTCCTTAGAGCGTTCAGGACTCTGCCATGGGGGTGTCTCTTTGCTAAGCCATCACTTCTCTGGTCCGATTTGGATCAAGCTGAGGATGCTTTGGGAGTCTTGAGTTACTGGACGAGTGAGTTAATGAAGGAATGACTAATGAAGGAAGGAAGGGGGTTCTTTTCTGTCTTAGGCAAGTTTACATATTCAAAAGTTCACAAGGTAGAGGTCATGAACCTCTGGACTCTGCCTTTTAACCAACCCATCCTTCTCTCTGTCTGGGACCCTCTCTAGAAAAAGCAACATGCAGAGATTTGTTTTATTGACAAGATCAACTCGCTGAACTTGGACAAAACCAAGAGATACGACATCATCTGCTTTATCACGTGGAGCCCCTGTCCCTTCTGTGCTAAGGAACTGGTTGCTTTCATCAAAGATTGTCCCCACCTGAGCCTGGAAATCTTCGCCTCCCGCCTGTACTTCCACTGGATCTGGGGATATCAGGTTGGGCTGCAGAGTCTGCGGCAGCCCAACATCCAGGTGTCGGTCATGAGAGAAAAAGGTAGGAAGAGTGACAGAGCTGTCATCAGGTGGGAGAGTGCGATGCCAACAGGGAAGAACCCCTGGGGGTGGGGCATGACTGGACAGGAAGGGTGGTGGCCCAGGTGAGGCCCAAGATAGGATACCACCTGGGAGGGACAAGTCCAGGGAGAGGAAGGGGGGGAGGGGGAGGCTTGCCGCTTCCCTGCCCCTTGGGCCTGACTGGGACCCTCTTTCATCAGAGTTTGCTGACTGCTGGGAAAACTTTGTGGACAACCAGGGAAAGGATTTCAAACCCTGGGAGAAGCTGACTCAGTACAGTACAAGGATAAGGCTCCGGCTCGAGAGGATCCTCGGGAAGGTGAGGAGCTGCCCAGCGCGGGCCCCAGGCCCCCCGCATCACCTTCCCAGCCTCAGCTGCCCCTTCTCCACGTCATTCTCTCCTTGTCCTCTCTCCCACTGCCCCACCCTTTCCTTTTCCCCGCACCCTTTTTACTCTCCTCTCCCTCCACGGCCCCAGGTTGCTTCCTTCTCTTCCTTTCCTAAGATTCTTGTCAGCTTTCTGTTTCTCTCAAGGCCACGCTGGCCCTCGCTGAGCTGGCTCGGTCCTTGTCCCGGCGTCTTCAGCATCCCCCGTCCTGCCCGTCCTCCCGGCACAGCATCCAGTCAGTGCTTCCTCGTCCCTCTCTCAACAGACCCACAGAACACACCTGGCCTCGGAGCAGAGCTCAGAATGCATTCAGGATGAAAACGACTGCGTGGATGCCATCAGAAACCTGAACTTGGATGCCCATCACCCTCATTACGAAGAGTGGACCCAAGACGCGTGTTCCTGAAGCACCTCCATGCTGCGTGAACTGCTGAATCCCAGGAGCAAGAAGTGAGCTCCGGGCATGGCCGCCCCTCGCCCAAGTCCAGAAACCCTTTCTTCCTCCTCTTTCTTCTGCTTTCTTTTCCCTTATAAGTGGCTGTAAGTGTTTATGATTAAAATAATAAAGATGATTTTTAAGTCTGTAAAGTGTTGGTTATTTTCTCAGGGGGAATCAGGTCTTCATTAAATGAGGATCAAGGACTTCTACAGCACCAAGAAAGACTTTTATTTGAAAACTCCCTGTATAGCCCTGGCCGGTTTGGCTCAGCGGTTAGGGCGTCGGCCTGCGGTCCTGAGAGACCCGGGTTCGGTTCCCGCTAAGGGCGCGTACCTCGGTTGCAGTTTGTCCCCGGCCCTGGTGGGTTGTGTGGGTGGCAGCCACTCAATGTGTCCCTTTCACATCGATGTTTCTCTCTCTCTCTGTTCCTCTCTCTCCCTCCCACTCTACCTGAACAAAAAATGGAAAAATGTCCTCGGGTGAGGATAAAAAAAAAAAAAAAGAAAAAGAAAACTCCCTGTATAGTCTAGAATAGTTGGATCATTTCGTGGTCCAAGTATTCTCTGTTCCTTCTCAGTATTTAATAAGTGTCTAAAAAATAAGGTGAAACTCTCCTTAGCTGGTTTTGCTCAGCAGTTAACGTCGGCCCTCAGACCAAATTCCTGGTCCGGGCACCTGGCCTAGTCAGGGTGTGTTTGGGAGGCAACCAGTTGATGTGTGTGTGTGTCTCTCTCACATCAATGTTTCTTTCTCTCCTCCCCGCCCCACTTCCACTCTATCTAAAAATCAATGGACAGCCCTGGCTGGTTTGGCAGCAGCTAGAGCATCGGCCCATGAACCAAAGAGTCACGGGTTCGATTCTGGCTAGGGCACGTACCTTGGTTGCGATTCGTCCCCAGCCCTGGTCGGGGTCGTGTGGGTGGCAACCAGTCGATGTGTCTCTCTCCCATCAATGTTTCTCTCTCTGTGTCTCTCCTCCCACCCCTTCCATTCTATCTAGAGATAAATGGAAAAAATATCCTCAGGTGAGGAATAAAAAAAGTAAATAAGTAGAATCAATGGAAAAGTATCCTTGGGTGAGGACTAACAAAAAAAATTAAAAATAAGGTAAAACTCTGTGAAGTGCAGTTGTCCCATAAAATTGAGTGGGGGTAAAAATAGCACTTTGGTGTTGTTATTCGGCGTTCTTAATTGAAGACGCAAACACAAACTCGGGCTTACTGAACCTTGAGGAAAGACAGAGGATTAGATTCGGGGGTGTCAGAGCCAGGAAGGAGCCACCAGATGCTGAAAGCTTGTCGAGTGAAGGCAGCAATGTTGGTGGCAGTATGTTCCAACCAAACCAGCCAGCCCTGGAAGGCGGGTGCTGGCACAGAACTCTCGCCTTGGCTGCCACCCGTGCCAACACCCCCACCCGAATGGAAGAAAGGAAAGAGGACAGGAAACAAGTTATAATAACTAATGAACACAGGATAAGATGAAAAGAGTAAAATCAAGTGTATCCCACTAATAGGAACAGAAAAAATTCTTCCATATATTCTCACAAGAAACACTTTTGAAAAATAGATATTGAAAATACAAGGGATGAACAAAGAGATACCAGACAAATGAAAACTTAAAAAGAAAGGAAGAATGGCAATATTACACAAGGTGGAATTTAAGGCATAAGCAAGTTAAAGAGGGACGTACTATAATGACAAAAGACACAATTAAAAAGTAAAATATAACAATCATAAACTTGTACGTACCAAACAACATAGCACCCAAAAACATAAAGGAAAACTTATTAAAAACTTTAAGTTTTTAACCAAAGAAGTAAAAGACCTATTTGCAGAAAACTACAGGTCATTGAAAAAAGAAATAGAGGAAGATATAAAAAAGTGGAAGCACATACCCTGTTCATGGATTGGAAGAATTAACATAATTAAAATGTCCATACTACCCAAAGCAATCTATAGATTCAATGCAATCCCCATCAAAATACCAACGACATATTTCATAGAACTAGAACAAATACTTCAAAAGTTCATATGGAACCAAAAAAGACCCCGAATAGCCACAGCAATCTTGAAAAAGAAGAACAAAGTTGGAGGGATCACAATACCAGATATCAGGTTATACTACAAAGCGACTGTAACCAAAACAGCCTGGTACTGGCACAAGAACAGGCATATAGACCAGTGGAACAGAACTGAAAACCCAGAAATGGACCCAAGGCAATACGCTCAATTAATATTTGACAAAGGTGGCAAGAGCATACAGTGGAGTAAAGACAGCCTCTTTAATAAATGGTGTTGGGAAAATTGGACAGCTACATGCAAAAAAATGAAACTAGACCATCAACTTACACCATACACAAAAATAAACTCAAAATGGATAAAAGACTTAAATGTGACCCGTGAATCCATAAAAATTCTAGAAGAAAATGTAGGCAACAAAATTTCGGACATCATACGGAGCAGAATTTTCACTGATACATCACCTAAGGCAACAGAAATAAAGGAGAAAATGAACACATGGGACTACATCAAACTAAAAAGCTTCTGCACAGCAAAAGAAACAATCATCAAAATGGAAAGGCAACCCACTGTATGGGAGAACATCATTGCCAATGATGTATCAGATAAGGGGTCAATTTCCAATATATACAGAGTGCTCATACAACTCCACAAAAGGAAGACAAAGAACCCAATTAAAAAATGGGCAGAGGAGCTGAATAGACACCTCTCCAAACAGGACATACAAATGGCCAAGAGACATATGAAGAAATGCTCAACATCACTAATCATCAGAGAGATGCAAATTAAAACAACTATGAGGTATCATCTCACACCTGTCAGAATGGCCGCCATCAACAAATCATCAAACAACAAGTGTTGGCGAGGGTGTGGAGAAAAGGGGACTCTAATACACTGCTGGTGGGAATGCAGACTGGTGCAGCCGCTATGGAAAACAATATGGTGCTACCTCAAAAAATTAAAAATTGAACTTCCATTCGACCCAGTGATCCCACTGCTGGGAATATACCCTAAGAAGCCTGAAACACCAATCAGGAAGAATATATGTACCCCCATGTTCATAGCAGCACTATTTACAATAGCTAAGATCTGGAAACAGCCCAAGTGTCCACCAGTAGACGAATGGATCAAAAAGCTGTGGTACATATACACAATGGAATACTATGCAGCGGTAAGAAAGAAAGATCTCTTATCCTTTGAAACGACGTGGAGGGACCTGGAAAGTATTATCCTAAGTGAAAGAAGCCAAGCAGAAAAAGACAAATACCACATGATCTCACTTATATACGGAATATAATGAACATAACAGTCTGAGGAATACAGTAGACCCAGACACATGGAAGTAGGGCACAGACTGACATCCCTCAGAAGAGGGGATGGGGGGTGGGGGGGTGGGAAGAGATAAACCACAGAACTTATATGCATGTATGCATGACCAATGGACATGGACAACTAAGCCGGGGACAGGGTAGAGGGGGGGTGGGGTGGGGGGTGCCAATGGGGTAAAAAGGTAAAATATCTGTAACAAAAAAATAAATAAATAAAATTCAAAAAAAAAATAAATAAATAAAATAAAATAAAAAAGTTACCATTGTAGTTGAGTGACAGTTGAGACTTCATCTTGTATTTTATTCTCTTAGTGCCTTGGATGCACCAGGGAAGAATGAAACGTTGCTCTCCTTCCTAGAAGGGAAGCTAAACATTAGTGTGACCACAGGGCTCTGTATGAGTGGTTCTCGAAAAAAAAAACAAAAAAAAACTTTAAGTTTTAATGTTGTGGCAATGTTTATAGCCCAGGGAATAGGTAGGATTGGTCTAAGTCTGTCATATAATTCTACTCTCCTTTACTGGACACTTTTTTAGCCTATCTTGAAGCTAGGCCTGGCTGTAGGACCCAGTTATGAGGAATCAAGCATAAGAAATTATCTGCCTGAGAACATTCTGTTTTTTATTTTATTTTTTGTTTCAAAGACATTTCAAGCAATTTGGGTTTAAGTGCACTGTCTCTCCCTTGTTTTTCCTGCCAATGATTGGAGTAGAATATGTGATGTCTGGAACTGTGATATTTATCTTGAAACTGTGATATTATCTTGAGTGTGAGGACAAAGAGCCAACATGTTGAGAATGGTGAAGCAAAAACCTGGGAAGAGCTCTAGTCTTTGACGACATTGTTAAGCCACTGAAACACTGTCTAGTCTAGAAATATCTACCTCCAATCTCCTTGTTACATAAAATAGTAAATGTCTACATTATTCAAGTCACCATCACCCAGATATTTTGTTATTTGTAGTCAAATGTGCCCTAACTGATGTAACTTCAAATCCACACCTACAGGACACAGAAAAAGCCAAACTCAGAAAGAAAAAAAAAAAGAAACAATAAATTAAATGTTTTTATTACAAAAAAAGAGAGATGAATAGAGTAATATGCTGTCCGTTTTAAGAAATTAGATAAAGCAATAAAAGAAATCAGAAGTAGAAAATTAACAAAGATAAAAGCTGAAATTAATTAGAAAAACTACTAGATTTAATAAATAAATTTGGCAAAGTAACAGGATACAAAATTAACATCCAGAAATTGATGGCATTCTTATATAACAATAATGAACACTCAAAAAGGGAAACTAAAAAAAACAAAAACAAAAAACATTCCATTTACCATTGAAAAAAAAACAACCCCAAAAAACAAAACTTAAGATACCTGAGAATAAACTTAACCATGGAAGTAAAAGACCTGTTCTCATAAAACTACAGAATATTGGGGAAAAAAATAGAGGAAGATATAAAAAAGTGGAAGCATATACCATGTACATGGATTGGAAGACTTAACATCATTAAAATGTCCATATTACCCAAAGCAATCTATAAATTCAAAGCAATCCCTATTAAAGTACCAATGGCATATTTCATAGATCTAGAACAAATACTCCAAAAGTTTATATGGAACTAAAAAAGACTCTGAATAGCCACAGCAATCTTGAAAGAGAATAACAAAGTTGGAGGGATCAAAATACCGAATATCAAATTATACTGCCAAGCCATCATAATCAAAACAGCCTTGTACTGGCACAAGAATA